TATATATATATATATATATATCTTTTCTTTCATCTTTCTCTGACTAGCTTGTACTTATTTGAACAATGCTTGAAACTTGGTATGACGAGCACTTCCTGTGGCTATTTGCCTCTTTAAGATGAATCGCTTGATGTATTCCCCAGTTGTAAGTCGCTTTGGATAAAAGCGTCTGCTAAATTAATAAATGTAAATGTAAATGTTCTCTAGAGCACAGCAGGTTGGTTTTATCCTGTTGAGCAGAACAGAAAATATGAGTCAAGAAATCAGGAAGACACATAGCAGAGGACAGGACATGGGATGGCCAGCAGGGAATTGGCCTGGTCACTTGTGATGGCCCAGGAAATAACAAATCTCATGTATTTGATCTTTGTTACCTTAAAGGCTGCAGGAAAGTGATCATTTTGCATGTGTGGAAAAATGGGAGGAAGAAAATCTGTAAGACAGCCGGACAGTGGCCATGGAGTAACATTATATTTAGTAAACTTTGTTATATTTTCAATGGCTGTGACTTGTGTATAGACTAAACCCAGATACGGTAATGCTTAATTTTGCCAAAAACTACCAACAGATAATGTATTCACACACAGAGCATATCAAGGATATGTTGGGGTAAAAGCATGCACTGGAGGGCATCACACAGGATGTTTGTATTTACTTTCAAAAATAACGTGATTTTCTGGGTCTTTGCTAGATTGTTGCTAGGCATTTGCTAAGGAAATTTGGGTGATTACTAAAATGTTGCTACTACATGTCAAAACAAACCATATACTGTAAGGTAATTCATATTTAATGGGCCATATATTTGGTGTATTTTGGAAATGTACATAATATATTTGGCAGAAGGGGCGAGGGTACTTGTGGCTTTTGAGAAAGGAGAGATTTGCTGGATAATACAACTGCTGAATAATGAGCAGTTTAAATCACTATGGCCTATTCCATGCCTCTGTATTCATACATTGTTTTGGAAAATACGTAATTTTTAAGTTAATTTGTGACATTGATCATGTCACTCGTATATATGATTTGATGTTCAATCTGCTCACATATCAACATTCTAAAATCATACTGGAAAGCCTGATCATCATTTCTGGAGTTGTGGAGGCTCAGTAGACATTCAACAGTATCTGTTTTAGTTGATTTATCAGTTAAGTTTTTTTCCATGGAATTGAGACGTTCCTCACGCCCCATTTCCATGGTAATAAGCTGCATAGTCAAGATTTTTTTTAAATGCTCTCTGGAGTTTTAAAGAAACTATGAATTGTTTGCAATATATTATGTCTAATTTCCTGAGAGATGTCTTATGTTTCTAGAACCACTTATTGTTTTTTTTTGTTTTTTTTCCCTAACATGGGAAATATCAACTGCATTTATTGGAATGTTTACTGTGGAATAATGCAGTGCAGTTTCATTTACTATTTTATACAGTGTTGTGTAATATTCAGTAAACATCTTCAAACTAGCTCAGCTTAAACGGTAGCCAGAACCTTATCTGTGAAGTCAGGTCAAAATACTTGACTTCCAGAGCTACAAAACACATCACGCACATGGTTCACCTTTGTTTGACTTATGAGGACCTTAAGACCTCTATGTTTCACCCGACCCTCTTCATAAAAACCTAAAACTACAAGTTTTGTTCTTGGCTGTAATCTGGCACCTTAGCTTTTAGTTAATCACTTTTGGACCTGTACTCTCCATCTGTCTGAATAGGCGTAATTTATGGATGAACAGGTGGGACATGTCCCAGCCACTTTTTGAAAGCTCTTCAGCTCCTCTGTTAAAAATGGCTTGCGTTACATGTGTTTCTCAGAGTTGGTGAACAAATATCATAATTATGCCTCTCATAACCCAGATGCCTCTCTTAACCTGGGATGTTGTTTTACGCTTTGTTGACGTAGATGTGCTCTGTGTGAATGGCATCCAGTACATAGTACTTTCTTTGATCAGATGGAGTGCATCCTTCATGTAATTCTCCTTCACTCTTAACAGGATCTCAGATCAGTTGGCTGACTGTGGATTAGGGGCAGGGGGTTTAAGTGTGCACTAGATAGCAGGGCGCCTGTTTATCAATCTGTCCCATCATGGTAGAACTCGGTTTGTTCACTGGATTTAAGTTCTTACCATGCAAATCTCTAGACATAAACACAAACACAAGCTTGTTTCATTGTCCTTTTCCATTAGAAACGGCACTGAGAAGTTTCATTTGATCAGCATTAGTTGCTTTTGGTTATGAAGCAAACAGATCCACAGATCCACACAAAAGGGCAGAATTTCTAATATCACAAGTACAACATGTACAAATGGCTTTTGTGTATATAGTTAGAAGATTTGAGTACATGTTGCTTTTGGTTATGAAGCAAACAGATCCACAGATCCACACAAAAGGGCAGAATTCATAACACACATCTAATATCACAAGTACAACAAGTACAAATGGCTTTTGTGTATATAGTTAGAAGATTTGAGTACACCAGGCAGATGTTTGAATGATGCATGTTTTGGCTCATCAGTGAGTTCAGATCAAGTCAAGGAACAGCAAATAATTAAACCTAAAAAACTTAGCACGTTTACTTTACAACTTGTCATACACTTAAAATATATGTGCAATGTGGTAATGAGAGCACTGGATGGCGCTATAGAGCTTTAAAAAATTGTTAGCAGAGTCTGCCATCTAGTGGTCTTGTTTTAAAATGTAAAAAATGTCTGGATTATGTTGAATATACTATATACTAAATGTAATATTCTAGTTTAGTGCCTGCTCAGAAGTGTGCAGTGTACACTGTATACTGCATACTATTAAAAGTAGGCGTAATCAAATCCATTATGCAACAAATGTAGTAGGTTATGCCAGGTGTTGCATGTATACAACAAATGCATACAGTACTTTGCACAATGTATATTGAATAAAAATCAAGAGAAGTGTGGTAGTTAGCTATGACATGAATAAAAAATAATATGTTTTATAGTCAGTAGTTTACAGTCATAAACTAGTTAATGTTTGACATAATAGATGTTTTGGTACGTGCATTGATATTATAAACTTGTATATACTTATAATATAATATTTTATAATATAATAGGTTTATTATAGCAGTGTTAATATTATTAACATTGCATCGCAGGTTTAATATTTCTGTGCACTTCACAATGAAATTCACTGCTATAATTATTCACCTTAATCTTTACTAAAAAAATAATGAGTAGGTGACATTTCAGGTAATGTTTCAGTAAATAGTGCATTACTTAATAGTTTCACTTATTGCACTTTATTCAGTATTTTTTTTTAAATCAGGTAAACCTGTTAAATAAAAATAATAATAATAATAAATAAATAAATAAATGACACAAGCTATGATCACTCAGTGAGCTGCTTCTTTGTGGTCTATAAGTGTAAACTTCAGTCTACATTTATAGAGGATGTAAAAAATGTCTGGATTATGTTGAATATACTATATACTAAATGTAATATTCTAGTTTAGTGCCTGCTCAGAAGTGTGCAGTGTACACTGTATACTGCATACTATTAAAAGTAGGCGTAATCAAATCCATTATGCAACAAATGTAGTAGGTTATGCCAGGTGTTGCATGTATACAACAAATGCATACAGTACTTTGCACAATGTATATTGAATAAAAATCAAGAGAAGTGTGGTAGTTAGCTATGACATGAATAAAAAATAATATGTTTTATAGTCAGTAGTTTACAGTCATAAACTAGTTAATGTTTGACATAATAGATGTTTTGGTACGTGCATTGATATTATAAACTTGTATATACTTATAATATAATATTTTATAATATAATAGGTTTATTATAGCAGTGTTAATATTATTAACATTGCATCGCAGGTTTAATATTTCTGTGCACTTCACAATGAAATTCACTGCTATAATTATTCACCTTAATCTTTACTAAAAAAATTATGAGTAGGTGACATTTCAGGTAATGTTTCAGTAAATAGTGCATTACTTAATAGTTTCACTTATTACACTTTATTCAGTATTTTTTTTTAAATCAGGTAAGCCTGTTAAATAAAAATAATAATAATAATAAATAAATAAATAAATGACACAAGCTATGATCACTCAGTGAGCTGCTTCTTTGTGGTCTATAAGTGTAAACTTCAGTCTACATTTATAGAGGTGTCCATATTATTATTTTTTCTATCATGTAAAGGGGTGTCAAATTCAGTTCCTGGATGGCCACTGTCCTGCAGAGTTTAGCTTCAACCTTAATTAAACACATCTGAACCAGCTAATCAATCAATCTTCAGGATTACTAGAAACTTCCAGGCAAGTGTTTTGGAGCTGGTTGGAGCTAAACTCTGCACAACAGTTGTCCTCCAGGACCAGAGTTTAACACATGTGTATTATAACTTGTGTATTTTATGTTCCTCGTGATTGATGACTGTAAATGCACTGACTTTTATCTTATACAAATCTGTAAGTCATTTAAACTAATTTGTAAATTTCTGTATGTGAACTGCAGGGATTGCCTGGACCCCTTGGTCCCCAGGGGCCCACAGGCCCTAACGGTCGACCGGGAGACCCTGGTCTCCAGGGTCCTAAAGGAGAGAAAGGAGACCATGGTAGAGGAGGCATTATGGGTCCAAAAGGAAGTGTGGTGAGTCTCTCTGTCTTGCTCTCCACTTCTGCTATTATGTAAAAACTTAAAACAATAGGTTTAGATGGAATTTAAGCTGCCTTTTCATTATCTCCAGTAGGCTTGCCAATACCGGTATTACCGGTGTTGACACACGTCGATTAACCGGTGGGAAAATGTCCTCACCGTCACAACCCTAATCTCCAGCATTTAGGTATGATTGACAAGCTTTTCGCTTTCTAATGGCAGTTGCATTGAAATTTCAGATCGTAGTGAAGCAACTGTTACCTTATGCTTATTCACCTTGATAAAATGAATGAATAATGAATATTTGAATTATATATCCACACAAATTAAACGACCACCGATAAGTTTGAAAGAAAAGCATAGGAGGTTTTATAAGGCTAATCAATGTAAATAATGTAATAATTATAAAATATATATTTCAGACATAATTACTCATAACCGTGCGTTTTACAGAAATGAAAAAGTGTTATGAGAATAACATTTTAGTCCAAAAATTGGTCATTTTTACCTTATATTCTTAGTGTTGATTAGATTATATAACTAACTGTATTTGATTAGATTCAGTATGATGGTCGCATAAGGTCTAGCCGCAAAAGTTTAAATAGTTCAGTAGCAGAAATAATATTCACAATGTCTCAGTGATACTGTACATGACTTTTCTAGGTTTAGCCATTATTTGCCTCATTGTACTATATAATTATCTTTAAAACAATCTCAGGAGTAGTTCTGAGAGTAGGTTAAAGAGTAAAACTTTACATGAAATTAGATGAAATGCTATTGTGTTTGTGGCTTTCTTTAGGGAGTGGAGGGTGTTCCAGGGTTTAATGGAGCAGATGGAGTTCCGGTGAGTGTCATTTTGTTTATATCCACAGTATTATGTTTAACGCTGTCATTAGGCATAAATAAAGCAGAGTTTTACAAGATGGCAACAAGAGAAATGTGATAAAAGATACCAAAGTTTAATAAATAGCTACATTTATTAAAACTAATCATTGGAATAAACAAACCTACCGTCCAGTAATCTAGTTCAAATACCATAAATACCTTTCCTTAGTTTTGGATTTTTTACCTAGTATTACCACTGAAGGTAAAACAGAATATGTTGGTCAAGTCTTTGTTTCTGATCTCTCATCAGGGCCATCCTGGGCCGTCTGGGCCTCGTGGAAAACCAGGAGCTGATGGTTGTAACGGAACCCGGGGAGAATCAGGAACACCAGGCCTTCCAGGATTCGATGGTGGACCTGGAATATCAGTACGAGTGTTCATTTATGCATAGCTCATCTAACCCATAATGCTTTTATTTTCTCTCTTTCAATCAATTTGTCTCTGTGTACTTGCCTATCTCTAAATGTAATATTCTCTAGGGCCGGCCAGGAATGAAGGGAGAGAAGGGTGACCCTTTGGATCTGTGGGTCTATATGGAAAGATTCAGGGTAAGGGGAACTAAACGTTTCACCAGAGGATACGAAACCAGAAACCAGTTTTAGTTTACCTTAACCTTTATTATGTTTACATTTACTATAAATTGAGGAAATGCATTTGATTTAGTTTTAAAAAATGTATCATAATTCTATGACATATTACAGGGAGATCCAGGACCACCAGGTTTTCCAGGATTTGCTGTAAGTTTGATTTTTATAATTTGTCTTGTGACAGAACTGAAACTGAATCATCAGGGATGAAAAGGTGTTTTCTAAAATATTTCATTGCACCCTTACAGGGACCAACTGGTAACCCAGGGTACAGAGGAACGCCAGGATTACAAGGTCCTTGGGTGAGTTAGTGACACACACAATAAAATTACTGGTATGATAAAAGTTATTATTATAATTATAATTAGGGATGTTATAATTAGGGCTGTCAATGTAAGTTGTCAATTTGGTGCGATTATTTATGTAAAAAATAATGTGTTAAAATTGTTAACACACTTAACACACCCTGCTCCAGCCCAGACCTGTACATCATCTTACATTACATGCAGTTACTGATAAACATGATGCAGGACGACGACTGTGTGATGCAGCATATAGAATGCAGTTATATGCCCCTAAAATTCAGGATACAAGGGCAAAAAATTGTTTTTTTGTCTTATATTTATATCATATGGTAAAGTTCAGTAATATCACAAAAAGAGAGTGTTATTTTCCCGAATATCTAAACAATTTCAATAAAAAAAGGTAATATTGTGTTGAATTTTAAAGAGCAGGTCATATGGTATTTTAAAGTGTCCTAATATTGTGTTGGAGTCCCCTACAACAGGTTTAAATGCATCTAAGGTCAGAAAACATTGTAATTTTATCAGATGTTTTATGACAGCATACTTTTGGTAAATAAACATCTTCCATTTGATGTTAATGTGTTGTCTTTGTACAGGGTGAAAGCAGTAAAAAAATAAAAGGAATGAAAGGAGAATTGGTGAGACACATTTTTAGTGTCTTATATCAGACTAATATCACGGTCTATAATCTGCACTGTTAACCAATATGAATTTTATATCCGTACTACAGGGGGAGATTGGAGAGCCAGGCCCACCTGGACCTTACTCACAAATCCGTACAATCCCTTCAGAATCGCAGGCAAGAAGAACATGAGTTTATGAGAATATTACAAGGGGAGCAAATGATCTGTCTACTGTAATTTTCATCTCTCTCATTTGTTTTAACAGGGTGACAAAGGCTTGAAAGGTTATAAAGGTGAACCAGGAGATTTGGTAGGTGGCTTTTTTTGAACCCAAAAATTTATTTTAGGAATGACAACCCAGTCTTACAGTGGGTTCAGAATAGCTGGATCACACACAAAAAAATTTTTTTTTGTTTTTTGCATAATTTTGGTCTGATTTTAATGGTCATATAAAATATGTTATTGAAATGTAATCCTGAGTTTTGCAGATGGCCTTTCCTCATTCAAGTCGATAAGAGTCAATCGAAAATAGCTGGCAGTGTCGCCACTGAGTGAACCTACAGGGACTTCGGCAGTATCTTGATAATAATATTTTGTATTTTAAATTATTTCAGGGGTATTTATCTACCAAAGGAGAGACTGGTGTGTCAGGGTTTCCAGGACAACGGGTATGATTGATTAAGAGCTGAAATCTCTTTTTCTCTCTCTTTTCAAAAAAGCAAAAAAACAATCACAATGTATGAACCAGCTCTTCAACAGGCACATCAGAGAATGGACATCTACCATTTTTGCTTTTTTTCTAATCTGAAAGTTTTTGGATATGCACACATATTTCAAATTTTTATCTAAAATATTTAACCAATTCATATTAATTACAGGGTAACCCAGGACGAAATGGCTTGCCAGGACCAAGGGTAAATCATTTTGATAATTTTCCCAACAGTGCATTGGCATTTGTGCATTTGCGTGGACTTAAGCATTTCTTAAAGTCTCTCTCCATTCCTACAGGGAGAGATTGGACTTCCAGGTTTCCCAGGAAATTCTGGCCACAAAGTATGAATTTATTTCTGGTTTAGTGCTGGTTTAGCATGTCATACCTTACCATTCAATCTGCATCAAACGTTGTATGACCTAAATGCATATCATTCAACAGGGAGACAGAGGAGAACCTGGAGAGCTCATAGATCCTTTTGATGATACTGGAGGTACTAAAAATAATGCGAAAAAGATTATAAAGATTATTACTGTTTAATATCTGCTGTTTTAGTAGTCCTAATCCAACTTTCAATAAACAGTCCAGTTTCTTAATTTTTTTATTACTTTGCTTCCGTCCGTTTCTCTTGCTTATATAGTGGGTTCTCCAGGACCTCCGGGAGAGCGTGGCCCAATTGGAAATTATGGTCCTAAGGGTGTTAAAGGACTGCTGGGTCCCCCAGGCCCCCCTCCCACTGAACAACAATCAGGTATTTTTCAATCTAAAATGGAAATTCTGTCATTATCTGATGGTGCGAACTTGTATGTCTTCTGTCTGTTAAAACACACAAGGAGAAGTTTAGATGAGAAATGCTGCTCTTTGCCATGCTTTGCATTCAACGAAACAGCTTGGATATCATTCCCATTGTGAGACAAATAACCCAAAATTATAAATACTATACACTGAAAAAGTTTTGCCCTCTGTCATAACTCTCAATTTGATTCTCACTTATGTTGTCAGAAATATAGATTTTTCAGATTCAGAATATTTAAAATTACTTCAATACTCAATTTCCACAGTAACGTTACACCAGTAACAGCTGCAACTCCGAAAGTGAGCTGATAAACAATGCTAAAATGTTTATTTTAATTAAAAAGTATATAAACCATTGCATGTTTCAGAGAATATATAGCTCACGTTCTGGCATTTTCATTTTCACAACTCGGTTCACAGTAAATGTAGTGAACTCTCTTCATGTGTTGTGAGTTTAACATGCATGTGGGAATGCAATGTGTGCCAGTTATACTTTTTCATGTTTGCATAATTTCCAACAGCAGAATTTTAGTTCATAATTTAATTTTGACCATAGTCAAAGTATTTTCTTAACTTACTGCCCTTAATCTTTTGCCAGTTTTTCCCTGTGGTATTGAAAATGGTATTGAATATTGATGTCTTTTAAGTTATCATATCGAAGTTAGAAATTATAGTATCTTGATAACACTAGTTCACACTAAGGAGTAGTCAAACTTGCTGTATCACGATAAGTGACATGGCACACAAGGCCAATAGCAATTCATCGACATCAAAGGCCAAACTCATCTTTTTGACGGGTTTCAGATGAAAACTTTAGAAGATTTTTATAGCACATGAGTCGTATGGACTTCTTTTATGGTACTTTTATGATGCTTCTTCTGACGTTTTTGGAGCTTGACAGCCCGTGGTCTCTGTATACCTTTTTTGTATTGGAAAAAACAGTGTAAACACCTTCTTTTGTTCATCCACAGAAGAAGGAATGTCATATGGGGTTGGCATTAATAATATAATCATAACATTTTTGAATGAACTTTTTAACAATTTTTAACACATTTTCAAATACATATGGGCTTAGACATTACTTTAACCAAACTCTGTCATTGATATGATTGGTTCTCTGATCCACAGTGGATTTGTGGGGTCCAGAGGGACCACGGGGTTCAAAGGGAGCCGAAGGTGAAACTGGAGAACCTGGTAATCCTGCCATTGAGCCTGGGCCACCTGGTTCTGATGGACTGCCTGGATTTCGTGGACCACCTGGACCCAAGGGATCATGTAAGTGTGAATTTCCAAACCAGAACAAAACCTGGTGCCATCACTAAATGCCATGCTAATAAAGCATTTTCATATTTATACAATAATATTGTGAAGTAGTATTACAATTTTCAAATGTCATTTATTCCTGTGATGACAAAGCTGATTTTTTGGCATCAATACTCCAGTCTTCAGTGTCACACGATCCTTCAGAAATCATTCTAATATGTGGATTTAGTGCTCAAGAAACATTTCTTATCAGTGTTGAAATCAGATGTACTGCAAAAGCTTTGTAACAATTCAAAACTCGTTATTGTCATTTTTAATCAGTTTAAAGGCACAATATGTACGATTTTTTTGGAGCCACCAACAGGTGAGGAGGGTGTTTTACCTGCTAATATTCTCATCTCAAAATGTCTTTTGCCTGTGGACCAAGGTGTAGTTCATGTCCCTATAGTAAATCTTGGAGACAGGGACCAGTGGCTTAGGGCAAAAACTTTTCTTGGTCACTTGTATATGGTCAGCTTACATCCTCTACAGTCAAAAATCTGGGTGTTATATTAGACAGCAACTTGTCTTTTGAAAAGCATATGTCCCATGTTACAAAGACAGCATTCTTCCATCTTAGAAACATTGCCAAGCTACGGAACATGTTACCTGTTTCTGATGCAGAAAAGCTAGTTCATGCATTCATGACCTCATGATTCAGACTGGACTATTGTAATGCACTGCTAGGATGTTGTCCTGCATTTTCAATAAACAAGCTACAGGTAGTCCAAAATGCAGCGGCTAGAGTCCTTACCAGGTCAAGAAAATATAATCATATTACCCCAATTTTACAGTCTCTGCTTGGGTACTTACATTATCCCAAAAGTTTCGAAGAATGTTTAAATCCAGAGAAATAAGCAATTTTAACTAGTGACACGGACCGTGTCCGTAGTGTCATTGTGTCACCTGCCAATGACGTCATAACCCCTCGATTTCCGGTTTTGTTTTGTAGAAAACATGGAAACACCAAAGACACTTTACATAGTCGTGAGATGCATATGGCAAGAAATCTGTAGATAACAACAAAAGACAATACTTTATTGAACCTTTTCTGATAAGAAGTGTGTGCTGCAAACGCGAGCATTTTTGACGATCGTTTCTGTCCAGTCTGCTCGTTTTATCGTGTTTAACCACAGCTGTCGTCGGTTTTTTTGTCTGGCAGTGGCAGCAGATATGCGATCAAATTTCGAATTTGACGCTGTAAAAACCATTGTCGATTCTGGCACCCAACATCACAACAAGATGATATTTTAAGCTCCTCGTGTAGCCGCATCTGCGCTGGTTTGAATGGGCTGCTTCCAGCTAGCGCTGTGACGTCGGCTGACCCTAGTTAGCTGTGGTTGGCCTGGCCGTGCGTCACTCAGAAAACAACAGGCCAGTCAGAAGAGAGGCTCATGAATATTAGTTAGACAGGCCAAAATCGACCTGTTCTCAGCAGAGCTCCTGAGAGAGGAGCTGTAAAAATATATTGAGATGGTTTTTGGTACTTATACCGCAAATATATATTCTTAAGGACATCAAAACCTAAAATAAAACTCCAGAAAGGTGTAAAATATGTGACCTTTAATAAATCATTAGCTCATCCATGAACATGATTTCTGCCTTAGTCCCGTCGGATTGAATCGGCTGTGGGGATGAAGACGACAACTCCCATGATTCCACACTCAGTCACTGCGTCATCAAACTACGCCTTTGTCTCTTTGTTTATTTTGAATACGCGCCCTCTAGCGGCGAAAATTACATATTGTGCCTTTAAGGCATCCTCTCTGAATAGAGACTTTGATACTGAATACTACAAAGAAGTATTAAAGATTATTAATGTCTTGATACAGTGGAAGAATTCTTCAAAGGCGCACCAGGACCACGTGGACGTCCAGGAAATGCAGGGAAAAAGGGACTAAAGGGTAAGATGAGTGCTGAAGTTAATAAACCGCTGGGGTTATTTGGATGTCATGAAGATAGCATGGTGTTAAAAAAATGAATGAATGAATGAATGAACAAGATAATTTCATGTTGTGCATGATATTGTGGGAACCTTAATTATTTTTAGAGCAGAATAAAGAATTCTTATCTCTTCTCCAGAAACACAGAAGGTGTTTGTTGTTGCTATTTGTTGTCTTTGTTAATCCTGCTATACCGGTGATGATTTTTATTATTTTATCAGGTGACCATGGTCCATGCGATTGCGATGTAAAATCCCCACCTGGTCTTCCGGGTCTTCCTGGTGATGCTGGGGACTTTGGCATGGCAGGCGAGTGGGGTCAGGAGGGTGATCAAGGAGAGACGGGAACCAGAGGTGTGGATGGTGTGCCTGTAAGTAGACATACACCATGTCTTCATGCCTTGTTAAAGAAAAGTTCACCCAAAAATGAAGTTCACCCAAAATTTGTCATTGTTTACTCAACCTCAAGTTGTTCCAAACCTATATTATTTTGTTGGTACTGGTATATTGGTAACCAAACAGTTGACGGTAGCCATTGACTTCCATAGTATGGAACTATGGAAGTCGATGGCTACCAGCAACTGTTTGTTTAATCCGTCCCTCGGGTCATTTTGACCCGGAACTGATTTTCAAAAAAATTCTAAAAATCGTGTGTTGATCATACCGGTCCAAGATTTCTTTACTTTTGTCACACTTGCACCGGGAATACACACAAAAAAATTGAGTGGATTCGAGGAGTTTAAATGGGTGCAATAAAAAAAGTAACAAAAGTGTCCCTCGCGGGTCATTTTGACCCACATAGGAATGAATGGAATTTATGAGAAAACTGCGTTTTTTATTAAATTTGGTTTTTTTATACAAAATCTGAGACAATCCAGTAAAGATTTATACCCAAACGAAGGGCTGAGACTACAGAATATCCCCAATGCAGAAAACACTCACATACACAAACTCACATACACACACACACACACACACATGCACAAACACACACATGGTACACACACTCCCATAGAACACATTATAATATGTTTCATGTTTCTGCTGGGACCTTTTTTTTTTTTTTACAGTTAAATTTGAGTGATGTGGTGGAGACCAATGAGTTTATATCACATTTATATTTTTAAAATATATTATATATTTATTTCATATTTATGAAATTGTATGAATATACATATGTTTAGGTTATAATTCAGTTAGAATTTTAATTTGTTTTTACAAAATATGGATTTTGTAATGTTTCAATATATATTTGAATCCATAAACAACCAAATTGAAGCCTCAAGATTATCTCATTTCTCATGTTTCACTCGTTTTGCTCAGTTAAAAATCTCCATAGGTGAAATTTGTAAGTCTTTTAATCTTTTCCTTGATCTTTTGTAATTAGTTATATACCCGTTTTTGTACCCTGTAGTTTTTTCTTTTTCTTTTTTTTCTTATTATTTATTTTGTTCTACATTGTGACTGCTTTTATCTTTGTCTATATAATGTTCTTAATAAAAAAAGAAAAAAATTAAAAAAAAATCTCCATAGGATTCTATAGGCCCCTCTAGTGGCTGGAACCATAAAATGCAATTTTACGTCATTTTTCCCCACCAGATGGCATCAGAGACACTCAGTGACTCAATTCCGAGGCCATCTGTTGGTTTTTGATAAAACGGGACTGAAATTGTCTTTATTCGTTTTTTTGTTTGTTTGTTTGTTTGTTTTTTGGTGAAATAATGTACAAAAACTGTTTATTTGCTTATATTTTCTTAAAAAATATCCAGAATAAAAGGTAAATATAATAAAAATCACCAAAAAATAATAGAAAAACCTACATAAATATATATATATATATATATATATATATATGGATCAATATAAGATTTCTGGACCAAAAAACAATTAGTGTCATTTTTAGCAGAATTTTTATTTCCTGGGTGAACTATCCCTTTAAGATCACCTGAGATACATGCATTTGCATTGGCAAATTTTTCAATTTTACAGGGTTCCCCTGGTGCAAGAGGATCACCTGGACCCAAAGGCAGAAAAGGAGAGCTGAGATTCGCTACTCAGAAAGGTGCAATAATCTTCCATTTCATGTTGCATACGAGAGTAGATATACATTTTAATATTTTGCCTGCACTTGTGAAATACAGGACAATCTGGTGACCCAGGGGACCCAGGTGCTAGTGGCTTTCCAGGAGTGCAAGGAAGGCATGGGCTTCATGGAAGAGATGGTGAATCAGGTTTTCAAGGACCTCCTGTGAGTCTTTGTCTGATCACTCAAAAACAGCACTAAATAGAAAACTAAATAGATATTGATCAAGTGATGCCAGTTTTAACTAAACTATGCAGTGTAATTCATAATTATCTACATGCTTATTTTCCTTCAGGGAGAAGGTCCCGTAGGTGAGCCTGGAGACAAGGGATACCAAGGTCGGGATGGTCCTCCAGGTCTAATAGGTCAAATAGGACAACGTGGTCAAGTTCTTGGAGCAACTAAAGGTCTAAGGGGCCTTCCTGGAGACGAAGGACAAGTTGGTATTGATGGAAAGCAAGGGTTACCTGGTGTTCCAGGTGTGTAACAGTATTATTTTAACATCATTAATATACTATTATAGTTTTTGTTAATATTCTAATTTTGATGTATTTTTGACGTTCTGTTTTCACATTGATTTTAGTTTTAGTATTTTTGTAGTGTTTTGTCATTTTTAGCATTGTTTATAATGTATGGTTTTATTAATTTAATTTATTAATTTATTTGAGTTATTTTAGTACTTAAAGATAAACTAAGATGAGAAATGTTGCATTGGCGATTAGCTGAAATAAAATAACCTTTATTTTAGTTAACATTTATATCAAGTAAAAAATTGTATGGTTTTAGTTAACAGTGATAACCCTGGTGCTTAAAAATACTGAGATTTATTTTAATCTTATACGCTTATTTTATTCTTTTTATTCATATCTATCTTACATGTGTTTTACAGGAGACTGTAGCCCACAAGGAGGAGATCAGTGGAGTATTCCAGGTAAAGATCTCTCTGCTGTCTTAGTGCTTCAACACATAGCTGTCATTCCACAATATATGGTCAATAACCGTACTTTGGCATTATTAACCAAGTCATCAGATTAAGGTGGCTTGAAAGTTGGCATCTTCTTCTTCTTCTTCTTCTGACACAAAATTTAGTCAGTATCTCCTCCTAGAACTTTAAAGCTACAATCACTGAACTCAGGTGAGACCTTCAGACTGTTCTGAAGTTAGCCGCTATCTTTTCTAACTGATGGTTTTCAAAAAAAAAACTATTCTTACCACCAAAAATCCCATAGACTTTCATTTGGGGGGGGGTTATTAACTGTTTTTGTTTTTTTTATTCAGCTGGTTTTAGCCGAAGTTGGCTGGTTTTTAACTTTTTTTTAATGTATTTATTAGTGCTGTCAAAATTAGCTCGTAAATGCAGGCAATTAATTTTTTCAGTTTAACACATTAAAAATATTTAACGCAGGGGCGGGGCTAGGGTTGGCCACCCCACTCACAACTGCTGCTTCTGTCTCATTTTTCTTGACAAGACCCTTCATTTATTTACACACAGAACGTCTTTACGGCCACATCAAACAGGAGATGCGCACTACAACTTCTCCTCAGTGCCAGGCGTGAGTCAAACGAGCGCAGAAACGGTACTGTGCTCGTAGTGCGTGCTCTTCAATTGCACGCACGAAGGCGCTGGCGCCTATAGCCTATATCATTTCTTATCAAAGCGCGAAAGAAACTACAAGCATGCAATGTAGTAGTTATGTTGCCAGTTAAGTCATGAAGTTACCAAAAAGGCAATTAAATCTGCCTTAAAACGTCTATGTATGTATTTGGTATATGAGTTACATTTGAGAACATATCTCTGAAATGCAGTGATTTTCCAAACTGTCCTGGAGCATCCCAGCACTGTCGCCCTCATCTAACACACTCGATTCAACTCATTAGTAGAGACTTTAAGACTTGAAGTGGGTCAGAATAGATAAAGAGAGATGCGTATCAGATCCGCGTCATGTTCAGCAGCAGCAGCTCTTAAAGGAATAGCAGCCAAAAACCTAATAGCCTAGCTGCTGTGATGTCTGTTAATCAAAGATCAAAAAGAGGAAATCAATTGTAGCTTTAAAGATTCGTCTATATTTGTGACCCTGGACCACAAAACCAGTCATAAGGGTCAATTTTTCGAAATTGAGATTTATACAACTTATGAAAGCTGAATAAATAAGCTTTCCATTGATGGATTGTTTGTTAGGATAGGACAATATTTGGCTGAGATACAACTATTTAAAAATCTGGAATCTCAGGGTGCAAAAAAAAAAAATAAAATATTGAGAAAATTGCCTTTAAAGTTGTCCAAATTAAGTTCTTAGCAATGCATATTACTAATCAAAAATTAAGTTTTGTTATATTTACGGTAGGAAATTTACAACATATCTTCATGGAACATGAATCATGATCTTTACTTAATATCTTAATGATTTTTGGTATAAAAGAAATATTGATCATTTTGACCCATACAATGTATTGTTGGCTATTGCTACAAATATACCCCAGCGACTTAACACTGCTTTTGTGCTCCAGGGTCACAT